TGTATAGTCTTGTCCTTTTAATAAAAATCCAAATCAATTTTAAAAAGCTATAAAACAAAAGTATGAAGATTTGGTGCTGATATAAGAATGGTCACATATTTGGGTTGTTTGTATTAAATTTTGCAAGTGAATTTTTGTTTTTATGAAACTATGGCTAGTGTGTTCAATGCATGAATAATACGTTACTTAATAAATTATAAACTTAAGGTTTTATGAACTCCCATCGATTAAAATAAAAAAACCAAAAATCATTCATCAATAAAATATGAAAAATATTTTAGTGATTGAATATTTATTATTTAACTTGGTAAATGCATTTTGATGATATTCGAAAGATTGTGTGAATTTTGAATTTTTTTATAGAATAGTTAAGAACCTGATTGTTATATTGGAATCTAAATTAACTCTAAAAATAAATAATTAATTCTTTTAAATTTTTTTAAATTTTACATGTTATTTTTAAGCCATACCATCATCTCTTTTAAGTCACGTCATATTTTTTTTCAAGAGAGAATGTGAGTGCAACAGATAAGCAAATTAAAAAAAATCAATTCTCAAATAATGTTAAGAGGTTTATTTAAGTTGAGAAATACATATTTGATGATATTAATATCACTGTGTGAAATTTAATTTTAACGAATAGACGATGTGGAAGAATTTTGAAGAAGGAAATGCGCTAGAAAACATAACATGAAATCAGACACTTTCGATCATTATAGCATGTTGGCTATCAGAGAAACAATTCCTAAAATGCATCCATATAGTTCTACTATGTGTCCACCACCGTGCAGATGATAGACAAGAAATGTTTTCAGTCGTGGCGATGTTGGAAGACGAAGACATCGGGCATGATTGGTGGGAGCTGATAAGGCTGTGCACAGCCTTATTTCTCTCTACAACATCAAAAAGTAACCAATGAAACTGTATTTTAATTTTTGAAACTCACAATTTTTACTATATTCTATGGCTCTGGGGAGGATTTTTTCTACAGAATTGTTTCAAGTGCTACGAAACTCTTCGTTTCTCTTTCCAACTACAATATATAAATTTCACATCTATTATTTATTATACATTATAAATCTTATTAAATTAATATAATGAAAACATTAATTAATAAAAAGTAGCCTAAAATATTTGAATATATATATATATATGTATGTGTATGTATGTATAATATGGCAAACAAACGTAACATAATACATTTATATATTTCACATCTTTTATTTATCATATATTCTAAATTTTATCATTGAATATAACAAATTAAATTAAATAATAAATAACTAATCTATACGATTTGATTAATATATCACAATATTGTTTTGATTTTAAAATAATTATAACAAACAATAAAAATACTAATGTACATAAAAACTAGTATTTACCAATCATGCTACTCTGTTAAAAAGTCACAGCCAAAATCTACAAAAACAAAATTTACAACCTAAATTCTACAGCAAAAATAACTAAAGCTACAGCTGTAACTAATCGGGCCCATAATCATTCCTAAGCTTAAAACACCTATTTGTTATGTCCAGGAAAGTACATAGTTATCTATATTTGCAATCATAGTTAACCATATACCTTTTTATTATATTGAACAACATTGTTGAATATATTGACTAACGCTTTTAATTATATTGAGCAACATAGTTAACAATATTAAACAACATAGTTAATTACGCCCTCTATTTTTTAAATAATGTTTTAGAAGAAATTTGTTTTGTTTCAAATTAAGCGATATTTTCAATATTTTACGCAAAATTAATTGATCTTATATTATTTTTGACTGCTTGAGATATGCAAATTATTTTCTAGTATGCAAAAAATTTGCGATAACATATTTTGACAATAATTTAAAAAATATTTATGCCGTTAACATAATTATGTAAATATACATCATTAACATATGCCTCTTAGATTCTGAGATTAACATAACAATATGCTCTAGATCATAATCTTATGGCCGCTTAACTATGAATGAAAGCTGGTGTGACAATTGCATCGACTGTTCCAATTAGGAACCCCAAGCCATTGTAAAACATTCTTTGAAAAATCGATCAGAACTGGTACAAGTCGACTTGAGGTTGTTTTAACGAATGCTTTTTTCGTGATCCTAGGAATACCGTGGACATCCAACTGGTAATTATATTTAGCTATGGGTCAGGATATCTCTATAAAATTGGTGTCTTGGAAGACACTCGCTCGGATCAATTTGAGGGGAACTCTTCCCGTAATGGCATTGAGTGGTATGTTGTCCAACATTGCATCATGCAACCTGTTTATTAGATTTGTTACGCCTCGATCGGATGTAGCTATATATATTCTTGGTTTCCATGTTGCACGGACGTAGGCTTTTCGCTACAAACACACCTCACTGCTCGTGCCTGTGTAAAACATTTTTAATTTTTATTCATTAATGGCTTGGTGTACTTGCATGGAAGCCCTTCCTAGATAGGTGGATACGGTATCTATGTCGTGACGCTCTAGGGATTTGATATATACGATATTTTATATAATTTTTAATAAAGAAATAAATGGTTTTT